TATCCATTAGTTTTTTGGTTCAAAATGGATCATTATTACGCAATAAATTTTAAATCATATGCATTAAAGTATTATTAACTTTCCGTAGGTTAAGTTATTGTAATCGTCCAAAAATCGAAATTGAAAATTTTTACATTTCTTCACGTTTTGGAGGTTTCTGAACATTTTGGCATACCTCAGAAAAGATGAATGTGTGTGTGTATGTTTGTGTGTGTATGTATGTATGGATACAATTTTTCGTCCACGTTTTCGGGCGCACGGATCAACCGATTTCATCGCCGAGATGTGCTCATTAGTTTTTGGCAAAGGCAGGTCTAGCCGTTTCGGAGATACGGAGCAAAGAGTGCAGAAAATAGAAATCGAGTTTTTGAGAGATCGGAGCATCCAGCAATTTGCCTTAAGGCACAGTGCCATACACACCACTAGTTAAAAATTAATTTATATTCTATTCAAGCTGCACATAGAATTAATTTCACGATGCTCACATTCCAAATGAGCTTTATTATACGTATTATTTGACTATTATTATATGACATCCTCCAACTTCTATATATGATCATCAATTTATAAACATGTGATGTTCCTCAACTTGTATGAAAATAACTTCCATCGTCGTCGTATTCATTTGCTTTTCATCGTTTTTGTTCTGGAAACTTCATGAAGCGTATATAATAATACAATATGTAAATTAAATGACAGGACAAATGTTATTCAGCTTTATATTTGTTCTACAACCACCGTGTTCGGTACAAAAGAGATTTTATTACGCTCATAAAAATTATGGCAGAAAGTTAAACATTTTTCCCTACTCCACAATTAAAATATTCACGGGGATTGACTTTTGAACGAAATTGGATTTGGAAATATAATAAAAAGTACCTGTTGACAATTTTGGATGGGGCTTAACATAATACTTTTTGAAAAGTTTTACATAAAATGATTTTAAGTATTATTCAAGAAATCGTTAAAAATATTTAAAATGTCTAATCAAAGATTATTGTAGTCAGTGGGATATTGTGATATTATTTAATCATGACGTGTTAAAAAATATTGATAAAAAGTATGGGATTATTTAAACAATTTATACGCCATTTTATAGGCCTTTTCAAAAAATTTGGATATACCAATTCTCAACTTATTAGCTTATCATTCGGCCGAGGTATTGAAAATATGTGAAAGGGGACCCTTTTTTTTAAACTCATGGAAATATAAAATAATGTTTGTTACTTGATTCTTGACTGATCTTGTCTATGTTATACATAAAAAATCATGTAAAAAAATATTGTTACGACATTAAAAAATAAAAATAATTTTTCAGTTTCCATTTTCTACTTCAAATTTGAAAGTCTGTACATTTTTCTTCTAACATCAATTTTTTTACTATTTTTTTAAATGAATAATCTTTCATACAAATTCTGCGTTTATTCAAAACTTAATCCTCCATTGAATTTCCTAGTAAATATTTCTTTCGAAAAGAAACAATATTATCTGCATAATATTTGCAGTTGTTTTGTACAGAAGAGTGAATTTCTATAATAATGTAAATTATGTTTGCGCAATTCAAAACGCTTATTTCTTTGTATTCAGAATAACAAATGCGAATATATTAAAACTTAATCAAGAAACCATTCTCTGTAAAGTATTTTCTTGGAAATTATTTCATATTTTTAGCGGATTATATTTTCTAGTAGTATATTTATAGATTTATGGTTTACGCGTAAAACAATTTTTAAAGCCAAAATCAAACTTTATGTTCCTTTTTATCAATTTTCATCGACGATACTTTTTATGTTTTTTGTTTCTTTTGAGATTAATTTTAGGCTTCTGTAAGAAATATCGTCGGAAAACTTTTCTAGAGTTTTTAAATTATCTACAAACTATTTTTTTCATTTTTCCAGAAGTGACAAACGGTTTTTTCGATTGCAAAGTTTTCAAGATTGCCAAGGGCACTGAGCCCGGAAAAGTTCAAAAGAAAAGTTTTAGGACGTTTTATGTTGAGCCTTAGGGATTTAATAGTTTTGAATTTTGAAACATTTTGGATTAACTGAATATTTTTCTCTCTTGCAGAAGAAGTTAATGAAAGATGATATAATCTTTTTCGTCAAATATTTAAAAATCAAAATATGAGTATAGTATAAATTTAGGTATATGTAACAGAATAGGCATTTCGAATTATCCACTCCCTAAAAATCAGTGGCGTATAATCAACCGAATTTCATAAAGATTTATGCACAATTAAGAATCTTTTGCATGAATGACTGATATATATATATATATATATATATATATATATATATATACATATATATATACATATAATAAAAGGAAGCTTTGCGACAAACATATTCATGAGCTGCCTGCAATGAATTTTGAATATCAGAGCTTTATAGAATATTTACAAGTGACCGAAAATTCGGTTCCAATTGAATTATTCAACCCTTATCCATCCTAATTTAATTTTAAATAATAATATTAGCAAAGAAATAAATAACAAATATTGCAAAATTTTTCTAAAAATATTTTAACAAATACAGAAATTTTGTATATCAACAAGAATCTCATAACATTCACAATGAATGAAATAGGAGAACAAACTTTGTTTAAATTTACAACTTGCCTAATAACACTGATTTATAACAACTCTGGTTCTAACTGTGACAAAGTAGAAAAGTTAAATGTTACAACGCAGTTCGAAAACAAATGGATATTCTTTGGACAAACTTGAATAACTTAAGTAAACCAGAAGTTACTCCAGAAATTTAAGAAATTAATTTAAGTGGTTCAAAATTAATTAAATAATTAAAAATATAATATACACAGAATTTGTAATATTTACAACGGTCTCATATTATTGATTTTCACAAGTGCATTAAGCCAAAATCTATTTCTCTGAAATAATATATGTATTATAATACAATTGTATTATAATACATATTACTTCAGAAAAATAGATTGATTTTTTCACCTTTATCTCATACATGATTTTTGATTATTCAATTTTGAGGGTATATAAGTATATAATATTTCAAAGTACCATATAGTTTTTCAATACATCTTATAAGTTTCCATCAAACTTTGTGAAACTTTTGCTGTGCTTTCCTGAGAATCTCATAAACAAAAGTTTTTCATATATACAGGGTTGTAAAAACTAAGAATAATGCATCTATGAATATTGCAAAAATTTTAATAAAAAATCTGTAATCGGTAATCAAATTTTAATATTTTTAACTGAAAACAAAATTGACTTGAATTGACTGAGATAACTGAGATAATTGTTATTATAATTTCATTACTAACATTATTATTTTTAATGAAGTTTATGTTTTTGCCAAATAACCTGATCTGCTAATTCTATGTTATCTTGACGTTTGAAGTCATTCTGAATCGATTGACTGAAATTGGAGAAGAATGTGTGTGTTAGAGAAAAAGATAACATAAACTCCTTGGTATAGAATAATAAATAATTTTAACAGATGTGCATTGGTCAACAGTTCTTTAACTGTGAGAAGTTTCATCTTAACATTCCCAAAAAAATGTTAAGTACTGATTGTTATTAAAAAAATAGAAAAAAAAACACAAAAACAGTTTTAATCTAAAATACAACAACTGAGTTGCACATTCTTATAATTTGAACAAAAAAAATTTAGTATGTAAGGATATCTATCCATTGCTAATATCTTAATCAGCTTCCTAGAATGTGATGCTAATTAGTTGTTCATCTATTTTTTTCTTATTTTTCTTGGATTTTAATCAGCAAAATGTCTTTCACGATACAGTACCTGTATATTTTCTATAATCTTCATTGTACAGTTTTTATCCATTGGTAATTTTTTTTCTAGTCTCCTAGAACCACATGCCAATTAGTTGTTCACCTGTTCTTCGCGTTTTTTTAGATTTTAATTACCAATGTGTCTTTTCCCAGGTAGTAGCTCTATATTTTCTATAATCTTCATCGTCAAAATGAAGTTAGTCGATATTTTGTTAGGGACTTTAGAATATGATATAAAATTCAGCAGCAGGTTGTAATTACTGACGCTTTGGATGACGGAAACTTTTATAACGCCATGAAATTCTAAACAGGGTGTGCTAATCATACCGGAGCTTACGGCGACGTAATCTAGTAGTGGGAGAGCTGGTAGAAAATTCATAAAAGAAATAAAATATAGATACTAAAAAATTAAAAAAAAAAAAATTAATGATTCAAAAAACTTTTTAATATGAGTGGCCCATTTAAAAATTCGAATTTCTCGATAGCAACTTGCCTGTAGGCTACACCGTGCGGAATTCGAAGTTGCGATATTTGGGAAAAAAACTAAGAATTTTGAGAAATTTCTAACGATGTATAATACTTTGTTTGTTTTCTTTACAGAAATATCTAAACTGTAAGATCACTAGATCACTAGGACCACTAGATGGACCACAATAATTTGTCTAATCATTTGAAAGATTTTTGATTTGAATTTGAATTAAAATGTATGTATTTTATATAGGGTCAGCCAAATAACTTTTTTTTAAATACTATAAAAAACTACTAAAATTTCCTCAAATTTTTATTATTTTATTGTAAATTTTTCCGTTTAATATCGAAAAATAATTTCATTCCAATGGCTACTTCAACAAAAATATATTTTAAAAAACGTAAGACGACAGACTCTTCCCATATTTAATTTGAGTAAATTATTTCCCTCAGCTTTCCGTCTATTTTACGCGCCGGTAAGTCTTATGCATAATTCCTTTTGCAAATGTTCGAAAGTCATGTAAGAATATTATATTATATGACGAAATGCGTTTATACAAAGTTTCGTCGCATATTAAAATGTAATTAGGTACAAATTTGCAATTTGCAAGAACATGGAATGGATTAGGGTTGTTTCGCCTTGTACAAATATTAGATTGTGAGAGTCGAATTTGATAATTGTAATTTAAATATTAATCAAAGTAAAATTGATATTTTAAAATCTTATATAATAATTTTATTAAATTATTTTTTTTTATTTCAGATGGAAGAGTTAGTACGGGAAATGCTGGATCCCGAAAATGGTGTCCGTGTGCGCACTCAAAAAATGTTCCTCACATTTATACCATTCGCTTTTATAGGTAAGTTACTATTATTTACTTTAATTTATTTATAATATAATACAATAAATTTATTTCAATCATTATAGCACTTAGCCATTACATCATTTTTATTTTATTCATTACTACCTGCCCTTGATCTTTATTATACATTTTTCTGTGGGTGAGGGTAGCCTAGTGGTAAGATGCACGGATCAAGATTTCCATTAACCATAGGGTTGTGGGTTCGATCCCCGGTCTAGAATAGTTGATGATGACCTGCCATGCTAATACCGAAGAGAGCTTGGATCTCTGCTGAGTTATAAAAGCATTACTGAAACTATTCAATTTTTGTTTAAATTATATTTAATATTCATCATTTTGCGAAAGACACAGTGTGTTTTATATACGTTATGGCGGATATTTAAAATTTTAAATTGTGCTATATTTATTTCTATACATATTTATATCAGCATCAGAATTTGGTTCGAATCTCCAGCAATAGCAGAATTGAAAATATAAAATTAAAGTAGATTAAGAATTGTTAGAAGTTGTAAAGTACAAGAAAAAAATGTATTAGAAGTAAGAAGGAAAAAAAGCTTAGTTTAGAAGATGAGAAGAATATATTGAGAAACAAAAAGAAGATTGAAAATCAGTAAAGAAAATTGAATGGAAGATTAGGATAAAAAAAGAGATAGTATATATATATATATATATATATATATATATATATATATATATATGGTGAATGTATAAGAAATATATATATATATATATATATATATATATAAGAATTGTATAGAATATGATGAAAAATAATATGAATGATGTAAGTGGCTAAAAATGCTGTAAAGCGGAGGCCAATATTTTTTTTTAAAAAAGATTTTATGCAGTATCATCATTTAAGACGTTACACTATAATAGTTCCTCATTTACTATTAATTGCTTTCCAAGCTACTTTTTTCTTCCAATACTTGCCAAGTCAACATGATTACCAGTATCGCCTTCAGTAAATCTGATATTCGGTTTATTTTCAATTTACACAAGTTTTATTTGCCTTCGTTTAGTACACACGGGTTTCATGAGAAGTAGGTACTACCCCTTTATTCGCCCGTCGAAGTACCCATATATACGTATACACATTCTTTGAACAAATATTATATCTAAACATTTTTGTCGGTGTAATATGCCGCTCGTTTCCTTTATATAACTATTCTGACAAGTCTGACATTCTATTCGATTTTACATATTTCTAAAATTACTCGTGAAAATGGATGAAATTATGCGGGATTTGACGAACAGAAAGGACTGACAACCTCCAAATTATGCAACAGACAAAATATTAAATGACTGATATCATACCTCGATTTTCATATTTTATATAGTGAAAAATAATTAGTAAATTAACATATTTACACTATATTTTATTACGTTTATTTATGTATCTTTTTCCTTTACAGGTTATGATTTAATTGAATGGCTAATGGATCGACTTGTTATTGAGGAATCAGGTAACTTATATAGAATCTTTTATTTCTGGTAACTTTAATATTCTTTAATCTAATAATTTGTGTTTTCTAAATTTATAGAAGCATTAAATATTGCAAATCAGTTGTGCCAGCACGGATATTTTTTTCCTGTCAGCGACTCTAAGAATCTTGTGGTTAAAGACGATAGCTCTTATTATCGATTTCAGGTAATAACCGATATATAAATATATATTTTAAATTACATATGAAAAGTAAATAATCATCAAATTGTCTGTCCATGATAATTGTTCATTTACGAATGTAATTACTTACACCAGAACCTGTGTTTACTCAACTCCACTCCATCCACAAGCGTTATAACACTGGAAAACACCATTCTGTTGTTTTCCAGTAACCCTGATTTATTTTTACACTCAATTTTCTCTTTTGCTAAGTGCGCATGTGAGCAATGTTGCAGTAAAAGCAATAACAATGTCGTTAATTTTATATTCGGCACGCATTTACGTTTACCCAAGGCAACATGTTTCATGTCATTTTGCCATTTTCGATTTAATTAAACATTATGAACGCATGTGCAGAGTAAAAATTCTAATTATACACTATACATTTGGCGGATTTTTGACGATGAAATATGAGAGGAAGATATATTCACAATATTTTTGTTATTTTTTCTGTTTTGCAGTTTAAATAAAATTGGGACTAGTAATAAATTAAATGAACATTTTAAAGTTACTTCAATAGTATTGCCATGAAAGTACAAGGCGGCTCCACCGTGCGCCGTAGCACTTTGGGTTACGGCTTAGACTTATTTTTTAAATGTTTGTTTCAGGTCGATTTGAACATTGTTTTCTGTTTTTTATTGAAACTTTGAATATTGTTCTATGTTATATATTTGTTTTATCAAAATTTTTAGACATACGTAGAATACATTACGCTACATTACAAATTTATGTTGATTACGTGTTAGTATATATTATATATAAATATATATATATATATATATATATATATATATATGTATATATATCCTTTCCCCTGTATTCTTATGAAGCTAATGAAGCTCCTCGTAAAACCTCAGGAAGCAGAATACGATCAGAGGATCTCATTGCGTAGCAGCTTCTGCTTTTCCCAATTCCATATATATTCGGTATCGGTTTCCTATACATAATGCATACGTTATCTCCCACTCTATAAATAGACGATACATAGAGAATACCTTCTCTACTGTATTACCTAAATGTATATCAGGGATATATGGAACCTAAGTATTGCATATTTAATCAATAGCCCGTCATTGGTGATTGAATCGTGTCCAGGATTGCAATTGATGTATTACATAGGAAATTAATTAAAATATTAATCCTTGTTTCAATGTGCATGGGCATGCATTAATTGGAATGTGCATAGGCCATACTTTGAATAATTAGAAATAAATCTATTTTATTTAGGTACCTTACTATTGGCCATGGCAAAATCGACCTCCTGACAATGTTGAATATGCGATCTATCTTTTGAAAAGATCGATGAGGAATCGACAGAGGCATGGCCTGGAGGAGTACGAAGCAGAAGCCCTTGCTTCCCTCAAAAACAACCTGAAGGCGAAATGGGATTGTATCACCATGCAAGCTGAGGAACAGGTAATAGAATTGATAGAAATTATACCTAATACTTATAATTAAAAAATAACAACCACCTTACTTCAAATTTTGAAAGACCATGGTAATATATTTATTCTACATATATTTTATAGGAATGAATAAGTTTTTTATATATAGGGATAATTTATCATTATCAATGTGTATATTTTTTCCCAGGTGAAAATAGCAAAAGAACGTAAAAAAGGCGATAAAATAATCGCAGACAGTCAAGAGCGTGCATTCTGGCGCGTGTACCGGCCTCCGCCTGGTGTGTCGAGTTCTCTGGAACCTTGCCCGGTGCCCTCGAGGGACAGACAGGGCCGGACGAGGCGAAGAACCCTTGATGATGTACGAAAAGAGGTAAGTAACACTTCACTTAATAATAATAATATTTAATTCGATACTAAATAATTTTATGAATTGTTAATATTAATATGTCATTGGCGATAGTAAAATGAATATTATATTGTGTTGTTTCGAATACTCTGTTCGAAATAATTAATTTTATTTAGCACGTAGTTCGACATATATCACATGTTAAATAGACTTCATTAAATTAATTGTCTATATAGTGCGTATGCTTTGTTTATATTTGTTATGTATTTTGATACAAAATGCTTTGAAATCTTGTATATAAATTATGTATTGGTAATGAGGTACAATAAAAATTAATTGGAAAATGGAATTGTAAAGCATGATGATTTAATGAACATATATGTAATTTTGATTACATTTTGAAATATATAATTTTAAATGCAATTGGCATCATATAATCCTACAAAATTTGTTGCGAGGTTCTTAAAAAATGTTATACTTTACTCTTTTTAATTTTTTTAAATTTAGTAATATTTGTGGAATTGTTATTTACAAATTAAATAATATACGCATAATTATAAATAAGTTAAATATATATATATATATATATATAATTTTTTTCACAAGTTTTATGCCTCAGTTGTTTCAATTTGAAAAAGCCACTTTCTAAATACGTAATAAAAACTTAGGAAATAAAAACTGCTCGCAACGACTAAGGATATTTTCATTCCATTACAACGTTTATTTTTTGCTGACGACGCAAAAATATAATTAAACGATTTCAACGAAATTGCTTATTTTAAAACGGAAATTTTTCGCTTCTCTTCATAGTGTAAACTGGTAATTATTATTATAAGCATGCAATTTTGTAAACTAAAATTCCTGATCATGAAACTTTTAATGATTCAATTTTAAAGCACTCTCCACATTGTTTCTATAATTAAATGAATTAATTGTATAAGTTATATATGCATATTAAATTTTATATTGATTGAATAAAATATTGTCAATTAGTAATGCACTAATAATTTTATATATAAAATTTTATGAACTAGTTTTAACTTTATAATCTGTACTTTATTATAATTATGAACTTATTTCGAAAGTTTTTATGCTACCCGTTGACCTATTTTTAGTTGTGAACACAGAAATACTTAGACAAAGGTCCATTATCGATTCTGTCAAAGTTTGCGAAATAAATGGTTGTATTTATCTCGTAATAAATTGATAAATAATATGGGTTTCCTCTAAGACATTCGTACACTAAATAGCCTTTTGATTTGGGTTTGACTAAAGGTCTGATATGTATGTGGAAACATTGTGGTTTAATTGCCGTCTATGATAACGATGTAGAATGGAAATGAAAATATTTCATCATTATTTTATTGGTTTTTATCCAGGTGGAGCTTTTGCGATCGAGTTTGACTCGAACGAGGGTAAAGGTTTCTCAAGCCGTCGAAGGGTTGGTGCAATATGCGGAAACATACGCGGAGTACGACCCTTTGATTACACCTTCTCTGCCTTCCAACCCTTGGGTATCCGAAGACACCACTTTTTGGCAATTGAATGGACCCATGTGAGATATTGACTAATACCTATATATTATCTAAAGCTATAAGTATGATTACCAGTCTATTATATATTTTTTTCTATTTCCAGTGTCGAACAACCAACTGAAAAACGTGTAAGACGTTGGGCCCATTCCATGGAGGAGTTGGTGTCAGACCCAACGGGTCTGCAAGAATTTACAGCTTACCTAAGGAAAGAGTACAGCCACGAGAACATCCGATTCTGGACGGCGGCCAATGATCTGAGGCGATCAGCCCACTCGCAAATTCAGCGGAAAGTTAAAGAAATTTATGAGTGAGTAGAAAAATAATACAATAAGCATAATTTTATTTCCTAATGACATTTTTTATTACATTACCGATTTCTTCTACAGGGAATTTTTGGCACCTGGAGCTCCTTGCGAGATCAACATCGACGGCAAAACTATGGAACGAGTCCAAAAGGAGCTTAAAGCTCCCACGAGGTTCGCTTTTGACGCGGCGGCAGAACACGTGTACGCGCTGCTCCTGAAAAAGGACTGTTATCCCCGATTTGTTCGCAGTGAACATTATAAACAATTGCTGGCTGCTGGTGTTCAACCTAGTCAGAAAAAACGGTAATTATAATCAATAATAATAAAATTGCTATATATTCAAAATAAGAAATCTAAAACCCTATCTACCTGATGTTTTACATTTTGATGTTGATGTATTTTTATTCCTATGAGTGTTCTGAATATTTTAGGATGGCCTAATAGAAAATATGAAGTAGGTTCTTTTCGTTATAGATTCTTTGGTTTCGGTGGTGCTGCTCGAAAAAAGACATCAACGACAACTCCTCCAAATGCAGCACTCCTTCAACAAACCACTGGTACCACATCTTTAGTACCTCATACTGGTGTGGTTCCAACAAGCGCGCACGTACCTGGACCAGTCCATCCTGCGCCGGTTGCTTCAGCAGGTAATAATAGACATTAATTGTATAAAAATAGTAATAAATAATTAATATAATCACCATTTTTTAGCTACTGGGCCCGGTCATTACCGAAGACGAGGATCCGACAGGAGCCTGAGCGGATCTGCCCACGAATTGGCCGTTGGTCAAGGCAACAAAACAGGACTGGTACCCCATAGTCACAGCCAAAGCAACCTTAGTGATATTCCATATAGGTATTTACAAAAAACAAGTTAATCAAATATAAGTTCAGTTTATATACTACATTATCATAATCATAATTCATAATACTAAAAATCACACCGCGACTTTTGTTATATTAAAAATTACCGCGACTTTCAGAGGCGACATACCAGGCCCGCATCAGTCACCTCAAGCTTCGTAAGTTTTGGCATTTGAATGAATAAATGTGTATATTTCTGATATAACTGAAAATAACTTTAAAGACTCTTCATGCACGGATAAAAGAATTTGATGAACAAAAATAATCAATATTTTTATCACTAATTTTTTGACATCTATATTTTGCAAACTGTTCATCATTTTCTCCTAAACTAAAAAGAAACTTTTTAGATTTTCTGGTTTTTCAATATTTCTCTGAAGATTTTACGTTAAATTTTATTCTGCTTTTTAATTATAAAATCTAGCGAAGATGTGTGTGTTACCACTATTTTCAGACTAACTCAAACTTTTTCTATTGGTGTTTAGGATTTTTGAATCATTGATTGATTGTTTTTGAAAATGTTTGATTTTAATCATCGATATTTTAATGTGTATCACAAAAAGTTATTTCTAATAGCTAAAGCACCATCTATTATCTTGATGTAATCTATTTTTTGATGTTGTGTATATTATAGTTGTATTTTTTTCTTATTAGAAGACATGAATAGATATACTTATGAATAATACTAAAATATTAATAACTATATTTTTGCTGATGCTGAGTATAAATTTATTACCAGCTTCCTGTCTATTTTATAAGTAAAATCGCTGAAAATCAATTTAATTTAGCGTTTATTAACAGGATCGTATGAGAATTGATATGGTAATTTAATAGATTTAGTGATCAATAAGAGATTGTTGAACCTCTCTATATATTCTGGCTAGGATATTATATTCGGTGATAGTCTTGTCATTCATGTTACTTAAATGGATAAATTGCTATCGGTTTATCAAGCTGTTAATTAACGTTTCTATAGCCATATAGAAATTAATCAATATATTCTGGAGATGAAATCATTTCATAGTTAGTTTGTTTCAGAAAAACTATTTTAAGAGAAAGATACGTAAGTTTTGCTTATGACGAGAGAAAATATTGTAATTTAGAGATTTTATTTTATATAATTTTGTTTTTAAGAAGTGATATTGTTGGTAGATTAATAAATAAATAATAAAAAATAATAGGTGCAAAAATATAAATTTATTTAATGAAAATTTAAACAGTCGAGAACCAATCGCCGGAGGCAGTTGCGATGATGCAGACCTGGACAGGAGAGGAAATACTTGTGATGTATGTCCGTGGGAAACTGGGCCTGAACCACCTCCAAGCAGACGAACACCAATGGGTAAAAATCCTATAAATCTAACCCATTACATAATTATCAATCTCTAAACTTATTTTTTATAATTTTTAGCTTCCACTTCCGAAGAGCCCTCAGGTGCGGTGAGTCCTGCGTCTTCAGCAGGCAAATCGCGCAAAAACTCGAATACAGATTCGTTTGCCGGGGGTGATGAAAGTAATGTGTCAGCTTCTAATGCTGCAATTATTGGAGCTAATTCTACTAGTGCAATTGCTGCAGCAGCAGTCGGCGAGGTTGCGGAAAGATTGCGTCGCACTTGCGGGATTCGACAGAGTACTATGGACTGTGATAATAGATCAACAAGGTTACTATCGGAATAAATACTAAACACTTTGCCGAGCTTATCTTCACTAAATTCAATTTGTTTCAGAAGACTTTCGATAGCAGCTCAACCAGAGCACAGACGAGCATCAGTAACTTTGCCAAGTACTACGACGAGCGGTTTGGCTAGTTCTTCCCTGTTTTTATCCGCGGATCATGCTCTTGCCTTACCCTTAATCATCCCACAATCGCGATCTGGGGAAATTACAAGTGCAGTAGTTGCAACCCCTAGAACTCCTAGAACACCTGCGATTAGTGTTAGTGAATCACTGCATGGACAACGAGAGGACACTTTGCAAGAACAACCTGAGGAACAACAAGAAAAAGATGATACTGCTGGAAGTGAAGTACTAGCGGATAGCCAGGTATGAAAGTTACTGATTGTCCCATAATTGAGGTGCGATTGTGGATATTACGTGTATTAATTGTTTGCCATAGTTATTGTTATCGGAACCTGCATCATCCAGTGAAGGCACTCCGTTACCGACGCCAATTCCTCCTAACATTGCTGGACAAACAGCGATTGCGCCGCTTGCAGAAGTTGAAACAGTTGATCCCACTGCCGAAGAAGATTTTGCACTTGTTGAACCTCAACCTAGGTCTACGCAGAACGTACAAGTATAAGTTTGTTTAATCTTATATAATAAAATAAAACTTCTTATCAAAGGAAGCATATCAATGTCTCAATGTCGTCTTACATTTTCTTTTACCATTCTAAGATGAAGCTGCCTCATCAATTGTCCGAATCGTCCAAAAAGAGCGAAGAAAATGTGACTCGTACCTCTGAGGAATCTGTGTCAGGAGAAATAACTGATGAATCAAAATCGACTCCAATTAATGACACAGAAGATGGCAAAACTAGTGATAAATCAGAAACTAAAGTTGGTGATAAAAATGATTCAAAAACAGAAGGACCAACCGAAGAATCGGATCAGGCCGCTGGAACCAGCGCAGAGGATGAACAGAGGCGAGAAGTTTGCCCATGGGAAGACGAGTAAGTGCGACTTTTGTAAAAAATAATCGAACTAGTAAAAATGATTGCGAGATAATTGAATCTCTTAGTAAGAAATTAATTTTTCTATAATAAATAGGTATATTATTTCAGAGAAACGTGTTTAGTGGACACTACGCCGTTCGTGAAAACTTATGCCACGCTCGGTTATCTGTGAAAATTGTGTTTTGGTTTACGTACTGTATTTCAAAATACTTCAACGCATTTAAGCGTTATGTACTAATCCTATAATGACTAAACTAAAAATTCAAAATGATATTGAGATCTATGATTCTTCATAAAGTAATTGAGAAAAATAACGCCCTTACCACTTCTACCAAAAATTTATAAAAATTTACATAATGAGGATATTCAAAATTTTATAAAAGTCTTGATTTTTTTTTTGTAACCTTGTACGAACAAAATTTTCGGTTAAAACTATACAAAATTCAGGATATTCAAAATTTTATACAAGTCTTGATTTTTTTTTTTTGCAACCTTATACGAACAAAATTTTCAGTTAAAAATATACAAAATTCTGAAACTAGTTAATAACTAGTAATTATTTACTAACGACATTTAAAAGACTACATTTTTAAGGGGATGAAAATACAGATAGTTAAATTTAAATGCAATTTGCAGAAATCACTCCAATTTCTGCTCCAAGGGGTTTTACGAACAAGTATTTGATGATGCAGTTTAAATTAAAATTCCTATAAAATCCATAGACATAGCAAATATATATTTTCAGTCTACAATTATCAATTATTATTATTTTGTTCATATTAATATTTTTTAAGTAATTTATCTCAAGCGAAAACAGTTAATAGCAAATTCATGTTCGTTAGTCGGTATAGGAAAAGCATAATTACAGTTGACGCGTTTAAAAAAAAGTAGGACTTTATTATCAAAAATTTGCACTTGTGTTAAATTTTAATTAATAAAGTTCATGAAATGAGACAAAGTTGTCAAAACAATTTGAAACTTATTTGCAGAGCCCGCAATAGGTTCCATATTCTGACAAACTTTTGTCCCATTTCAACAGTATTTGAATATTTATACTAGCAAAAATTTATTAGCAAATAATTTAATAGTTTTCATATAATGACCAATTTTGAATTTTAAACAGAGCGTTTTGAATAGTCGCCGTTGTTTATTTCGCCGAAATAAAAATATTTCTGTGTAGTGTGAAATTACTTGCATCTAGTGTAAGGAGTAAAAGTATACATTAAGCCATATAAAATATATTTATTAATAACTTATCACATATTTCAGTGTGTAACGATAAAAGATGTAGTGTAATTCGATGTATTAAATTTAAAATTTGTTATTTTGAGCCTGTAATTTGAGATCACTTCAACGTGAGGAAGACAAAATAATTGCGAGCGTAAATCAACAACTTTTTAAAAAAGTCTCCAAATCGTCGGGAGGTCTCTTATTAAAAAAACGGCTAAGTAAAAATAAATTTGTAAACGTTTCATATATTTGCTACTATTATCTTAGTAGCATTAAATTTACAATAGTTTAAGATAAAAAATTATTCCAAAAATCAAAAAAAAAAAATTAACCCGATAGGTTTTGTAGCTTGTAACCCATTATTAGTGTACGGAATCTATTTGTAATGTATAAGAATATATTTGTATCACATATAATGCATGATTAAATTTGACTTATATAATAAACTAATTTTAACATAACCAGATATAAATGGATGAAAAAAATTAAAAACCAAAAATATATGTATTTATATACGTTGGCATATGTACCGAACGCTTTTTGTCGGTGTAATCGTACGCAAATTAATATAAATTACACATATTATATCCAGTTTAGATTTTAAGTAAAAGACGAAATGAACCACGCGACTTTAATAAAATATTTCAATGGAAAATTATCGCTCTTATTAATTTTTAATATCAGTGATTATTGCTTCCAAGAATGGCCCATGATAATGTTATTGCTGGTCTAGGTATTTCGCTTGGGTAAATCTTTACTAAACAAATATTAAATAAAAAATACTATTAATTATGCATATTCATAGTTTTACTTTACTTTGATCCATCGTTTCAATTTAATAGAAATTATTACATTTTTTTATTGGATTTGAACCTGTAACTACTTTTTGGTAATTAATTTTATTTAATAAAAATCTCGATTGGTAAAGACACAATTATTCTGCTAAACAAATGAATACAGATGAATTATTACAAAATAAAATACATAATTACTTAAATAATAATGTTGAAGAAAAATCATATTAAAATCCAACAAGAATCTAATTGGATTGATTGATTTGCATCTAAACCCTTTTATTTTCATATGTTCAATAGTATTGATGCTAATTAAAACAAATTGTACATTAACAGGAATATTATTCTAAAAAATTAAATTAGAAAAATATAATAATCAATCAAAAATATCTAAAATTCTTATTAAATAATATTAATCATTTTAGCAATCATAAGTAATATTGATCATTTTAATGATATTGTTTGAGTTTTTATGAACTCTTAACTCAGAGTTACATAATTTATATCATTTTTTATTGCTAAGACAAGGTTCTTATTATTTTCTAACAAAAATGGAAATGTTAAAATTGATATAAGAATCCAACAAGAATTTAAATGAATTAGTCATTTTTTTTAATTTTAACTCTTTTATTTTTAATATGTTTAACAGTTTTTGATAGTTTTCAAGCTAAATATATAAATTCTGAATATTATTACAAAAATATGTCATAAATAATTATTTTTAAGATTATAATAATTCAAAAAGTGCGTAAATTTCATATTAAATTGAAATAATATTGATCTTTCTTATACAAGATTTTGCATTTTCATAATTATTATTATTTTTGACGAATTTTTAATTACATTTTTTATATTATTATTACATGAGCATTTTGATTTATTACACATTTTAATTATATCGAGCTTTTTGTATAAAAAATTAAAATGATTCAGTGAAATTTCTATTGAAAACAATTCATTATTCATAAATAAACAATTATGCTGGTAAATAAGTTAAATTAGCAATTTTTATACTTTTTTTACTAATATTTAATATTTAAGGTAAAAAAAATCACGCCATTTTTGAGGATTTTACTTTAACTGTATATATCAAATATTATGTAATTGATTATACAATTAGACAAAATTTCACATTTTTAATATTACAGAATATTTATTTTGGTTTTAAATTGTTTATACGAATGAATTCAAATTAATTTAAAAATTGGTAGTTTTTTTAAATAAGTATTAGTAAAAAAACAATCATTTTATTAACTATATTTAAAATACACATAAAACTATTAAATTTAATGGAATCTATTTATTTACATTAACTTTTGCATTATGAAGAATCATTAGGAAGATCGCCTTGGCACTTATGATCATAGCTAAAAAATATTAAAAAATTAATTCTCTATATTACAACGATAAGAATTTTTAAAATTAGTATTGTTTGTTATGCAAATATGTAGTGAAATAGTTCATAGTTGTTAAAATGATGTATTATATGATATTTGACATAATTCAAATGATTACAATACTCTTTAAATATTAAAACTTAATGAAAAAT